ACTGACGTTACAATTGGTATCAAAACCAGACCAACCATATGAACATACATCCTTAGTGCAACTGATCCAATAGGGTGGTTCCAACAGCATGGCAGAAACTCTGCTGCCTTCTCTTGTTACAATTATTGTGTAATAGGAGTTTGGATACATTTGTGCCACTAAAATTTGTTGTGGAAACACATAGCTTTAATATCATTTGTTTCACCATAAAATAAGTGAATTTTTTTTCCATTTTCTGGTGAATACTGAATAAGCTAAAATTGTAATTATACAAACAATTTGCGGCATGGAAAATAAATAAATAAATAAATAATAAAATTAAATTAAATCATACAAAATGACATGGTTGGAATTTTTTCACTGTACAAATGAGAAAAAAAAATCCACTTGTGGTGAAACAAATGATATCCAAGCCAGGTGTTTCCACAACAATTTTTAGTTATACATACAAATGTCTCTGAACTCCTATTACAAACAATTCTAACAAGAACAATAAAGAAAGGAGAATCTTTTGTTTGAACAATCTCAAGCCATGTTTACTGACTTAAAATGTCCAAGCCATATTGTTCCTCAAAAAAAAATTGTAGCATTGCAATAGCAGAATGTTGCTACAACTCACTTAATTTAGCAAACAACAGCCAAATTTAATCTTGCCACTCGTAGGACCCCAAAGGACGACATTCAAGCACCAAAACAGGCAATAATCTAAGGGGAAAAAAGAAAAGAGGACTTCATTACAAAAATCTGTTCTACCTTTCATTGGCACATGAACTAGCCTGCCAGGTGGAAGTAAATTGAAAATCCCCAATCCCTAGAAGGGATTAGCTTATATTCTTACAAACTTTATTCTCTTCTCACGTATTCGAACTGGAAGAGCTCAATGGAGAATCAAGCTACTGAAGACTAATATCAATTATTGTGTAATCAGTTGCCGAATAACATGAGGAAGGATGCCTCCATGGTCAAAATATGCCAATTCCACCTATAATTACAATTAAAGGAATAGTTAGCATCAGCTTAGAGCTTAAGTTCACAAACATCTTCCGAATAAAAAAAAGGGTAGATAACACATGAACATGCAAATGCACATGCACATGCACATGCACATGCACATGCATAAATCTTCTCCTTTTGCTAGATAAATAATCAGGAAAACATATCATATGTACATAGCGTTGGCTCCACAAATTTTATCTTCATGGGCCAATTTAGGCGTGCGCACTTAGTTGAAAAGTTATATGTTCGACATCTCTTCACCAAAATGCAATTCACATAGAAGTCCTTATACAAGTTGTGAAATCAGTTTTTTTAATGTCTCTTATTTTAAAATTTTATAGTTTAAATTTCAAACCCTTTTGTGGTATTTTCTATATATCGATCTAAGAAATAATTTATCTTTTGAACACTGATTATACCAAAATGTTCTATTTGTCAAGAAAAAGAAGATGCAAGAAAGTGTAGATACCTAAATTTTAAGTCAACTATTCATAACAAAAAGGAATTCCAATAGGCAGTATATCTCTCATTATGTTATTCTTTTTCATCTAGTAAATAAAATTTTAGTCTTCTATAGTTGTTGGAGGGTTAGATTTTGATATAAATTTCGACAAGAAGTCAAATTTCTCTTGAGATAGGTTGGACTAAAATTTAGAAAAGAAACAACTAAAACCAAGTAATGCAATAGGAAAGTTACTGAGCAGGTTTGGGACTTGGGGCTTAATGAACAAAAAATCAATGGGTGCTATTATTACCACAACTTATTAGATGGGGCCACTTCATTAAAAGTGTTTTTTCCTTTCTTTTTGTAAGAAATATGTTAAAATTTACCATCACCTACCACCAATTTACCATCACCTACCACCACCTACTCCTCACCTACTCCTCACCTACTACACTCACCCTATATAGGAATCATTGTAGCATTCAATAATTTAAACAATTACAAACATCAATCAATAATACAATTCTCTTTTTCTCTTTATACATTAAATTTCTACATGGTATCAGAGCAAGGTTAAGCACTTAGTATTTTTCGCTTCACCGGCGGGCGGCAACCTCGCCTTGGCCGTCCGCCGGACCTCAACCTAATCTGCTAAAATTTTTCTACACATACCTTGAAATTTCCTTTCTGAGTGCACTACTGTTCAGTCGCCGGAGACCACCGCCGCTTGCACGTCGATGTCCCTTTGCCGAAGCTCCGTCGCGACACCGGCCTTCCTTGCGTCTGGTTTCAATCCTCTCCCTGATTACACGGACATGCACTAGTAACTGGCCCTCGTTGAATCTGTTTGGCTAAATCATGGTTTGTTAAAGCCTCAGGTCAGGGGTTCGAGGGCTGGTAGAGAGAGAGACAGACAGTGTGTGAGCAGTTTCACACAGAGTGATCTATGATAATGGATCGCAACGCTGTCTTCGTTATAACCTTCATCTGCATTGTCGTCGCCGGCGTTGGAGGCCAAGCTCCGGCATCGTCTCCTACTTCCACCCCAGCTCCGCCGACTACTTCAACTCCGGCTACTCCTCAGGTGGAGGAACAGCTCCGCGCAAGAAGCCAAAATCTCCGTCACCGTCGCCGTTGGCAGTGAGTCCTCCGGCACCGCCGACGGCAGCACCAACGCCGACCAACGGGGAGGCTACATCGCCTTCACCATCTGCTCCTGAAACGAGTGGGGTTGGAGAAGTCGTGGTCCATGGAGAAGATGGTCAGGAGCTTGATCTTTGGATGGTCTCTCCTTTGTTTGCTATTCTGAGATGACAACACACAAAGCTCCAGTATCAGAGATTTTTTTTCTATCTTCTGTTTCATTTACTTTTTCTCATCAGCTACCCACGTGATCCCATTGACCAACACTTTAAAGTCTCTCTCCACTCAAGCACACACACCATTTTGCCACTTTCTATTATTATTATTATTATTATTATTATACCAAACAAACCAACACTTTAAAGTCTCTCTCCACTCAAGCACACACACCATTTTGCCACTTTCTATTATTATTATTATTAATATTATTATTTTTCTCCAAACCATTTTCCTTATTTCCCTCATCTTTCATTTTTGATTTCAAATATATTTTTATTCTTTTTTCTTTATTTTTCTTTCACATTATTTTTAATATTTTTCTAATTCCATTCATACCATATAGCTTTGCACACCAAACCATATTTTATTCATCTCAGGGATCCACCCCGATCACAATTTTACACCAAAAAAAAAAACACCAACAGCTTTGTTTTCTTTTCTGCAGCCGGCCATCAACCGACCTCACTTCTTCACCTATTCCGCCGGTCTTTTCTTCTTGCCTCCGTCCTGGGCGGCCCTTGCCGGTGCTGCCTCCGTGTTTGCCAAACCACCAAGCAAGTTTCCTCCTCCCTGCTCCTCCACTACAGCAAATGGTGGACCTCCAAATCGGAACAGCACAGTGGCCTTCCGCTTCAGCTCCTTGTTTTCTGTCTTTAGCACACTTATCTCTGCTCGCGCATCCTTATACATGCGTTGGAGCAGAGCCAGCTGGGAGTTTAACTGTTGCACCTCATTTGTCCTGCTCTGCAGCCGGTGCGACAAGTTTGTGACCGCAGTCATGGTTTCCACACATGACTTCAGAGTATACTGATTGGCCTCAATATCAGTTTGCACCGCCATTTTTTGCTCCACCGACCGCATCGGAAAGTTCAACGGAGCAAAACCAGAGGCGCTTGGTTGAGGTTCACTGGCCACCGCACCAGTTATCTCTCTTGTTGACTCGTTGAGGTCGGGAAAGAGAGTGAGCAGCCCACGGGAAGACGAAGCCATTTTATGGGCAACAGAGTGTTACAACGTATTACAGCGTTTCTCTCTCAGCAAAGGAAGAGTTTTTTCAGAGGTTTCTCTCAGTTTTTTTGTCTCAGCTTCTGCCTTAGCCTCAGCCTTCGTCTTGATTAAATAGCCGAGGCAGCCACGCGTATCGCGCGCCTCTTGCCACCAGACGACAAAACGGGCGCGCAAGCCAAGGCGCCCACGTGCCTCGCCATCATGTCCGGCACGCCTTTTTATTAGCCGGGGCAGCCACGCGTATCGCGCGCCACTTGACGCCAGACGACAAACGGGCGCGCCAGCCAAGGCACTCACGTGCCTCGCCATCATATCTGGCACGTCTTTTTATGGATTGGGCACGCCTTTTTGATGGCACGCCTTTTGATAGATTGGGCACACCTTTTGAGGGTGCGACTTTTTATGGGTCCGACAAGACTCTGTAAACTGTCCCGACATTGATTCCGGTTAGTTTCTACAAGGGTCCAGCAAGACTCCGTACACTGTCACAACAACTGTCACAACATTGTCTGCTACAACGGTTCGACATGACCCCATAAACTGTCTTCTACATCGGTCTGACACCGCCATCCAGTGTCCTCTACTCCATTATGACACCACCATACAGTGTCCTCTACATGGTTATGACACCCCCATACAGTGTCCTCTACACCGTTATGACACCACCATCCAATGTCTTCACCAATGGTCTGACACGACCATACAGTGTCTCTTATCCTCTTTTATTTTTATGTATTTTCTTGTTTTGTTACTCTCTCCAAACTCAAGTTGGTTAGTTCCTATCCCCCTTGAGTTTGCGGGGGGCTGTTAAAATCCACCTACTCTCCACCTACTTCACCCACTTAAACCTACTCCACTAAACCTAACCCACTACACCACTACCACCTCACCTACTCCACTAAACCTAACCCACTACACCACTACCACCTCCACTTCACCTACTCCTTACCTACTACACACTCACCCTCTTCTATATATAGGAATCATGAATCATTGTAATAGATATCAATTAATAATACAATCAATATCTATACAATTCTCTATTTCTCTTTATACATTAAAACTTCTACAGTCTCCACGCCTGAACAAATTCAAAATGGTATTATCACTACTGGTTTGAAGTTGAACACATATAAGATGATATTTTCCAGACTATAAACTCACATGTCCAAGGAGGTTGAGGTGGTGATCAGGATGAAAGAAACCTGTTTCTCTTCCCACTCACAATCTCCAACACCAGAACACCAAAACTAAAAACGTCTGATTTTACCGAGAAAAGCCCATTCACCACGTATTCTGGAGACATGTAGCCACTACAGCAAAGCATTCAATAAGGAAACTGAGTATCAATGAATAACAAGTAAATGATTGTATAGAGCACGTGAAGAGATTCTTACTATGTTCCAACCACTTTCTCTGTATTTCCTTCTATCTCATTTCCTCCAAAAATTCTAGCCATGCCAAAATCTGATATTTTTGGGTTCATTTCAATATCTAGCAAAATATTGCTAGCTTTGAGGTCTCTATGAATGATTCTCAATCTGGAATCTTGATGGAGATAAAGAAGCCCACGGGCAATTCCAATAATAATGTGGAAGCGCTTGGGCCAGTCCAGTAAGGTTTTCCTGCTTTCATCTGCCCAAATTTTCATCCAGGTGAGTTCATACGCCTAATTGAATTTAACAATACATAATAGAAAATCATAAATTTCTCGGAAGACCAAGTCATGCAACTGCATATGTAGCAATAGAACCATATAATTTTCATTCCCATCTTCAATAATTCAACCGTTCAATGGAACCAAAAGAATTTAAACAAAATTATTGCTAGCTGCCACAGTTTGTTTATTTCTCTGCATACATGTTTGGCCACTTGACCTTGGTCCAAGAGTAGACTAGTTGCACTATAATTACTACAGTTTTGAGAGAGCCAAACCAAAGATGAAGAAGTCCAGGCTTTTGTTAGGCATGAATTCGTAGATTAACATCTTTTCTTCTTCTTGAATGCAGCATCCTAGAAGCTTCACGAGATTTCGGTGCTGAAGTTTAGCAATACAGCTGACTTCAGTTTTGAACTCATCGACTCCTTGTCTGGAATATTTTGAGAGCCGCTTAACAGCTATTTCTTGTCCGTCTTCCAGTCTACCCTGAAGATTACCATTTCGATGGCTAGAGTATACTTAAAACTTAAAAGAAGTCACTTCTTTTCTTTCCCTTCCTCATTGTTGTATCTTTTACTTTCTTATATTTCAATGGCTGACATTGTTCCAATAAGAGCGATCATGTATAACAATACACAAATTCATGCATACAAGAAGGTCACTCCACATATGTACTAAGCTTCATATATGAAAAGATATGTCACACCAAATGTGTTCTGTAAAAACTGAAAGGAAAATATTTTGTGTAATGCCAAATAAAACTGTTCTTGTATATTATGGATTACTTTTGTGTGGCCTTATATTGGGACGGGTGAAGTAGGTTTACAGATTTACAACTTCTTCACATTATTTGGATAGGATAAGACCTTCATTCACCATCACTTTTTATGCAAACTTTTCAATCATTTTTTGTTAAGACAATTTCATAGATAAAATAGTTCTTTCAGATAAAAGTCTGGTTATTAAAATTATATATGGGTACGACTAGAGACAGACCAAACCTTTGGCATTATTCACACAGAGTGGCTTCTCTAAGACTCAAGCCGGTCATTTTCATGCTTAGCAGACTAAGCTTTTACAATAGCACCAAACAATACCCCTAAGTTTTAGGTAGGTTCAAAGAAACTACATAAGAATGTATTGAGATTGTTACCTTGAAAACAGGTCCGAATCCACCCACTCCAAGCTTATTGTCGATTGAAAATTGATTTGTAGAATTAGCTATTGTAGCAAAGTCAAACAAGGGCAACTCTAGATCTTCCTTCTCAATTTGGTTAGTGTAACTTTGTTTGGAGTTATGTGCTAGGTTTCCTGCAAAGTATGAGATGGAATGGGTGTAAATGAGACTATTTATTCCATCAAAGCAATACACTGCATATTGAAACACATTATTAAAGAATAAATGAGCATACTTTCTTTTGGGTCCTTTTCTATTTGAATTAAGAGAAAGAACTGACTGCTGCTGCATCAAACACATAACGTTTCTCCCCTGTAGGAACATGAAGTGTCTTTGGGCCAACTTCCCCATTTAATAGCGTGTTGACAATACGGATATTTGTAAAAGTTCCTCTTGCCATCACTTCATCATTACCACGACGGCTACCATAAGAATTGAAGTCCTTGCGTTCCACCCCATGCTCAAGGAGATACTTTGCAGCAGGACTATCCTTGTTAATGCTTCCTGCTGGGGAAATGTGATCCGTTGTAATACTATCACCAAAGTTCAGCAAGCAGTGAGCATCCTTCACTCCACTGGGCCCAGGAGGATCCATGGTCTTGTTCTTGAAATATGGTGGCTCATGAATGTAGGTAGAATTGGGGTCCCATGAGTATAGTTTAGAAGCTGGAACTGATAGGTCATTCCACATGGGATTGCCCTTTGTTATAGACTCGTAAGTACTCTTGAGCATGTTTGGCAATACACTGGATTGTACAACCTAAACAGCATTTCAGCCCAATTTCATTTATTTTACAAAATAAAAACTTCGTCAAAGGATCTAGAAACTCAAGATTGTGTACCTCTGCAACTTCTTCAGTAGATGGCCAGATATCCTTGAAATAGACATTCTTGCCATCCTTCCCAACTCCAATCGGCTCCTTCTCAAAGTCAATGTCAACCTATAAATAAAATTTTATCTCATCATAAGTTGAGTCAATGGGATCAAAAAGAATACGACGTGTTATGACATGAAAAAAAAATTGCACGATCTAATTACGTCAAGTTAATGCAACAAACAAAACTTGGGTCCTCAGTTGACCAACCTTACTCAAACTTGTATCATTTAAGACAATATATAAAATGACAATTCAGACAACAAGAACAATTTACTGACTAAAGCTGAATAGTCGAGACCAATATATAAGTAGTCCAATATACACAACACAGTAGACAAGTTAACAGCCCTTCCAGTGGTTGTAGAGAAGTCACAATATGAGACAACCAACCTAGAATACATATATAAAGTATTTCACTATGAATTGTATGTGGACACCACTTCTAGCTGCCCCACATTTAGTAAGTAGGATTTGAACCACAATGTATACACGGATTGATTGACCCACTATCATTCATGGACTTCCAAATACAACATGAAATTGACACAGTGCAAACATATCATTACGGAAAATTCTTCAAATATGAGAAATGGTTTTACTGCATTTACAACAATGCATGAATGCACACATGATAATTTGCTGCCTCCTTGTCTCATTTCTCCCATGCTAAAAACCCAGAGCCATCTCATTCAAATTACAGGAATGACTCAAGTTTTAAACAATTTTGACATAATCACTAATTATGTATTCTTTTTTAAGCCCTCATTCTATAGGTTATACAAGTAACATTTTGCAAGCCAAAGGAACATTAGACATGATAGGGAGGGTATGAGAAGTAACACCACATGTCAAAAGTTACCAAGAGAATCCAAAAGATTTGGTGTAAAACACGTCTCAAGACTCTTCTTAAGTAGTATCCTCAATACACAAAGTAAGTATCCATCGTATACCAATGCAAAAGTTAAGACCATGCACCAGCCAACTTGGGTTATTGGTTGCTAATGTGATGCTAAAGCACATGTCTAAATGTGGCAGCTAACACAAATAGACTATTCTTAAGTGACAAATTAATACGCCAATACAAAGTTAAAAGACTGTGTACCAAGTGACGAACCCTACCTGGATTATAAGTAATTTATGTGAAGCTAATGCTAGCTGCCAACCTTGATGGTGAAGCTATGAAGCACATATGTTATCTGGAACGTGGATCGTTCCGGTACGTCGAACAGGAACAACAACGTGAACGTGGTATGTCATATGCTCTAAAATATGGTATGATAAGAGTAAGACTTAATATATTACTTCTAGAGTAATTTTCTCTTAACTATTAGACATCCAATAAAATATAATTTTTTTAATTATTTATTTTTCATAGAGCAAAACATTTTTATGAGTATTATAACTCATTTTTAATGTTTTTATCATGTCAAAACTTAACTCACTTTTGATTTTAGTTCATTATATATATATATTGTTTCCATCCTAAGGTAACTTTTAATGAAATATATTGAAAAAAACTTTTGAGATCGCTTCAGTTCACTAAATTTATCATTTTTGAATGAAAGTGTACCATGTTAACGTGCGTACCAATACATAATTTACTAAGATATTAGCATTTTCTAGTAACATAACTTCAAAACAAATGGCGTATCTGTGTCGGACACACGGACACTTCAGGAACGCGGACACTTCAGGGACACACTAGGGACATGCTAAATTGTCTTTTGCCCCATTTTATTTAGTGCTTTTGATGAATGTTGAATATTTATTATTTTTTTCTTAGATTTAAATACTTAATAGATCATCCATAAAATAAAAAATAAATAAATAAATAATAAAAGATATAAATTGTAAGTGTTAATTTAAAAGTGTTTTTTTTTAAAAAAAATTAAATTTATTTTTGATAATATTGATTGTTTGTGGATATAATATCAATCTAGATAACAAATAAAATTATATGAAAACATATTTTATTGTCATATCTCCCGAAGTGTCCGTGTCTTCAATTTTTTGAAATTGCCATGTCCCGTGTCCGCATCTATATCCGTATCCATATCCGTGTCCGTGTCCTTGTCTGCATCCATATCCGTGTCCGTGTCCGTGTCCGTCTCCGTGCTTCTTAGCGGTGAAGTGTCACAACTGGATTTCCATGCCACCTGGAATGCACAATGCCTTCTCCAATTGCATTCTTGTCATTTAGTGTCCTTTTTATCATTTTTCTTGTACTTTCAAATTATGCTTAACAATAACCCTCCTCTAGACATAGGGCTACAAACGAGCCAAGCTGAACTTTGCTAAGCTCGAGCTTGGCTCATTTGTTTATTGAGCTCATTTATTGAGCTCGAGCTCGACTCAACTCGATAAGTTTTTTTAATATTATTTATATTATTTAAGTAAAAATATTTAAATAAAAAATATTATTTATATTATTTAATATATAAATAATGTATTTATACTATTATTTAAATAAAGATAAATGACCCGAGCTTGATGAGCAGAGTTTATTCGAGCTCAAGCTCGACTGGTTAACTAAACGAGCCTAATATCTGAGCTTGAACTCGGCTCACTTATTAAACGAGCCGAGGAGAGTCTGTTTATGAACAGCTCGGTTCATTTGCAGCCCTTAACACCAAAAGAAAAGGTTATATTGTATATCGGTTGTGCATCGTTGCTTAGTCATGTTGCCTTGTGAAGTGCACGTTTCTTGTGAGAATGACATTGTTGGCAAGCTTGCCTAGTAGCACCCAACACAAGCTACGAATGGCATCTTGCACATGCCTATAAGTTTAACCCATGACTCCAAGGAATGTCAATAACTGGTCAACTTAATGTCCAAAAACGTTTTGAAAAAATTCAAGAATGGGTTCATAATTCTATTTATAACTAATTGTAGATCATTAGGATCCTTGTGGGAGGAGGCATGCATAGATAAAATGGACCAGATGGCAGATACACCTTAGCTTGAGAAAATAGAGTCTCCTTGGGAGGAAAAATAAGGGAATGATATGGCATGAGGCACATAGATTTTTTTTCTCACAAAACAGTACTTAACTAGGCTGTTTTTTTTTTTTTTTTATTGGCACCGGGATGTCCGGATCAAAGCCCGACTGATCTCCAGAGGTATACACAAGCCGTTGGCAAGGAGTTTCCCGCAAGTACACCATGGTTAATTCAAGAGTTTTTTCCCAGTCCGATGGCCCCAAAGAATTGTTAGCACCTAAAAAGTTTTAATCCCTGAACCTTGGAGGGAGCACACCCCCAAGACCCAAGGCCTTGCCACCAAGCCAACCCCTTGGGGTTGACTTAACTAGGGCATTTGGCATATTTGAAGACCCAAGACCACATGATTGGCCACCCTCAAAGCCAAGTCAACTGTTCACTGCAAGGCCTGTAGAATCACATACCATTGAAAACATACGCAAAGTAAATCCTATCGAATGTCCCTTCTTAAGTTGAGAGAAACACTTGGTGCTGCTTCTAATCTAACTAGCAAGAGACATGTATGCCCTAATTAAACCTACATACTAACCACTAAGGAAAGGCCATACAATTAGTCATGTGGTGAATCTTGAGCACTACAATTAGATGACAAGTATCAGGGTCCACATAAAAAT